TAAAATAGTATATAAACATAGTAAAATAGTAACAGTAAAATATTAATATGAAGCGGATACGGTGCTGCGTGGATACATGAGCACATAGGTGCAGCCGCATGTACCGTAGCGGTTATTGGCGAGATGTCTACGGAAAACTCGTCCGGAATCGTCCTTCTGAATCATTGAAAACGAAGGCTTTTCTTCGCAAGTTTTTGACCGTTTCACTTCGTTTTTCGCCATTTTCCCCACTATATAGCGCCCTGCTAGCATTTTGGGCCGAGTACCAAACTATCGTGCCAACTGCCTTTAATGCGCGCAGCGTCTTCTCCGATAAGTACACTCGAAATCCCTAAGATGCGGTAGGTGTGGTTGCGTACTTGAATAGAATGTGGCAGCGACCACGGCTTTCGTGAAATATTTTCATTTGGGACAGCTGTAATCATGTCTTTGCCCAACACAACAATATGACAGTTGTCTCAGTTTGGAATATCCCTTGAGCAACCCATGATATGAAATGTTCAAATGCCACGCCTCTTCCGTCTCAGGGATAAGGAGTGTAATAGGTCTTCTCACTAGAGGAAGGTTTTTGAATAATTACTGCGGGAGCTCTCAATTAGATTCGCTGTAGACTGTTGCTGAACACGGCTGCAAGTACATGCGGGCCATCAAGCTCCAAAGGTGTCATCCTAAGTGTGGCTCGAAAGAGCCAATGATCTTTAATCCCTGGATGGGTTTCAAGGGCTATCTACTTCAAAAGAGACGAAAGAAAAACGATATCGATGGGAAGCGACAAAGCAACTGATAACTGTTATCAGCTTTCCGATCTCATTGGCAGTTATTCTTGTTTGCGTTCTTCACCCACCCTTTTATCTTCTAGGGCAAAACAACATCTGCTGATAAAGAACTTTGATAAACGTACATGCTGGCAATAATCCATTTTGAATTCGCTGAACCTGCACTCAAAATTGATTTTCTCTCTAACTCGAGAACAATGAATTCAAAAGGAAGTGAAAGGGAACTTGCGTTTGACTTCGATGCGTTTCGATTCTCATAATAACAGAGAAAGAATGAGAGATCATCTGAAGTGACATCTTTGTAACCCTGGAATGAATCTTTCCATAGTGGAAGTGTTTGTGAAAAGGTTGTGACGGAATCTTCGTGAATACAGTCATCGCCCTTGCAAAAAAGGCTTTTGAGGGGCGTGGATTGGAGTACAACCAGGACGGTTTTTCCCTAACCTGCTGATGCCCCTTGAAGCTCACAACCAGATTCGTGGAGCCTGCTTTCAGTCCACAATTCCCTCTGAGTTCCCTCTTTTCTGGCTAAGATAGTGACTGTAGGGTTATCAGTATCAGCGATCTTCTGCCATTGTATCAGTTAAACTTTTATGCCTTGGCTCCACAACACTATCGAGCTGAGCCTTGAAATAGCCACATTTCGCCATCCCATCTCGTGGGTACTGTAGTTCATGCAAGTGTACATGCTGCTTATCTTAACTGTGAAGGAAATAGTAGCGAAGACACTATAGAAAGGCCTGGTTGATATTCAGCACTGGATGATATCCCTAAGACGGAGTAGGCGTGGCTTTTGAGCATGTCATATTATGGGTAGCTCAAAGGGTACTTCAATTTGAAACAACGGCTATCTTGTTCCGTGTTAGATGTAGACATGATTACGACTGCTCCAAAATGAAACACATCTCGCGAAAACCTGCGCCTTTCGAAATCAAATACGCAGCCACGCCTATCCGATCTCAGGGATTTCGAGTATGTCTTGTGCAGTGATGCTCGGGGATGTAATGTAATGGCAGGCACTCTCAACATGTTTCATA